TTAGAAGACTGGTACAAAGGAAGACCTTTTAAAATGTTAGCTATAACTATTATTATCAATCTTTTTCTAATCTCTTTCCCGATCTGCTCACACACACTGGTTTCAGCTCCTGGAAGTGATTTCTAAGATTTTCTTTATGTCCTTTTCTGTCAGTGTCTTGGGGAAGATCCTTTCATTTTTTTTAGCCCACCAATATTTTTTGAGCACCTGCTGCCCCACGGGCTCTGATATGTGGTGGCTGCAGAAATCTCCAAACATAAGCCTTGATTCATTGATCAGATCAGTGCTCAGCAGGGCTGGTAAGTGTTAGGTTTCTCTTAAGCAGCATATCTTAAAAGATATGTGCGGTAAACAAGGCTTTATGAGAGGCAGCATGATGAGTATAAAAGAACAAATTTAGGGGTCAGTAGATCTAGGTTCAAACGTTGGTGCAGTCTCCTATGCTCATAACTCTTCTAAACCTCACTTTTCTTCACTTCTAAAATGGTAATAATTCAACCTATCTCACAGGGTTATTATGAGTTAGATATTAGAGATGACGTGTACAAAACTCCCTGAATACGTACTAGGTGCGTAGGCCTGGCTGCAACTATTATAAATCTATAGGCTATGAGTTCATCTTATGTCTGTGGAAACTGTTGATATTTTTAGATCATGCTGCCTTAGAGGGGCTGTTTCCTACCCAAGTTACTTTCTGTGTCAAATAGAATTTCACTTGGCCTCCTAAATTGGGTGGAGCTGGCTGCTGACTTCAACCTTGCCACTAACTAGCTCTACAACTTACCCTTCCTGGAGCCTTAGCTTTACCACATATGAAATGAGGGTTCTCACCTCACAGGGTTGCCCTGAGGATTAAATGAAGTAATCTTTATAAAATGTGCCCAGTATACGTTGACACAGTATTGGGTTCTAAATAAATGGAAGCTACTATTTAATCTCGAAAGTGCAAATGATCGTTTCTGAGTTTGAAGGTTGATGACCATTTATCTTACTCATACTCTTTTTTATTTTGTGCTTTTTTTTCTGAATTCATTTGTAAAAAGTCTTATTCTTGTCTTTGTTAGTATTTGTAAGTGATTTTATTGAGTTGCAAGCTTGGAACACATATAATTTTACATTCTACTTAGTATTATATGATTAATAATGTTTGTGTCTCGTAAACATTGTTGTAATGACTGCAGGATATATTGTGGAGTAGATCTACCATTTCCCTGTTGCTGAGCAATTAAGTTGTTTCTTATATTTTGCAATTATAATGTTTCAATGGGTGAATAACTTCATGCATATTGCTTTTTGATATTTTAAATGTAGTTCCCTGGGATGAATTCCCAGGAAGATTACTTGGGCAAAGGGGATAAACATGACTTTTGAATACATATTGCCAAATCACTTTCCCAAAGGACTCAATTGACTTCTATTTCCATGTTCATTATTTTATAAACTTCAGTTCATTCCCTTATTCAACAAACATTTTTAAGCTCTTACCAAGTGGTGGGCTTAGTGAGAAGAGAGTGACCCTAGTGGGGAAGCTCATAGATAAATAGAGCCCCTGCTGGGCCAAGTGCTGATAATGGCACAAAGGACCTGGGGAGGGAGTCCCAGCTCAGCTGGTAGAAAAGTTTATTTTCTTAGTCACGGTTGTGTTCTTTGGCAGAAAGGAAACTGCATTTCTCTGCCAACCTCCAGCTTCATTGAGGTATAACTGGCAAATAAAAATTATATATATTTAAAGTATACAACATGATTTTTTTCGTTTGTTTGTTTGTTTGAGATAGAGCTCAAGCTATCACCCTGGGTAGAGTGCTGTGGCATTACAGCTCACAGCAACCTCCAACTCTTGGGCTCAAGTGAGTCTCCTGCCTCCGCCTCCCAACTAGTTGGGATTACAGGTGCCTACCACAACGCCTGGCTATTTTTTAGTTGTAGCTGTCATTGTTTGGTGGGCCAGGATGGATTCGAACCTGCCAGTTGAAGTGTATGTGGCTAGCACCTTAGCCACTTGAGCCACAGGCTCTGAGCTGCCTTTTTTTCTTTT